TATCTTTTCTGTCTCCTCATTACTGTCTCCTCATATAATTGTTCCTTACCTGAATGGTCTCCATGCCTTGTGGTTCTACTAATCTGAAATCATCTTCCATGTCACATCATGACCATCTCTGATCCTGGTAATTAATGGAACACCTCATAACTGGGCTTCCCTGTGGCAGTTGGGTTGAGGATAGGGCCCAAAGTCAGGAGCATGGTCCTGGTTCCAGCTCCACCATGAGCAATTTGCCTCCTCCCTTGTAGCCATGCCAGGAAGATTAAGACGAGCTCCCTGGCCTTTCCTAGCTGTGAAAACCTACACTCAGAGGCAAATGGACATTGATCCTATGCTCCTGAGACTCCTTTTGTGAATACCTGTCTTCCTTCTGCCTTAACTTACCTTTGGTATGAGTCCGATCAACTGAAGGTGCTAACAAGGAATTTTCTGTAGCTGATCTTCTGTCTTGCTCTGCTGAGCTGGCAGTGCCTCACCCAGATGCCTTTTGTATGGAAATGCCCACTTGCAGCCCCTTCCCATGGATATTCTCAATGGTGGTGATATAAGAGCTGCTATTTAAACAGTGCTCACATGTGACAGGATGTCAGGCACTGTTCTAAGGGTTTTGCATACAGTAATTGATTTCATCTGTACAACACCCTAATGTACAGGTAACACAGTTGAGAGACAGAGAACTGAGTGACTGGACCAAGCGCATAGCCTGAGGCTCATGGGGTTCAGATGGGGAGCATGTGCTCTTGACCCCTGAACCTTTCTCACTGTCTTCTTCCCTTGGTCCTCTGCTCAGCCAGTTCCCTGGAGGAGACCAGTCTGTGGATCTTGGGCTGCAGGATGTGGGCTGTGCCCTTCAAGGCAGGGGCCAGTGCCCATGACTGTGTCCTGCACAGAGCAGGTGCTTCACAGTCCTGCTGTTTGATCAAAGGAGAAAGAGGACAAAATAGAGGGAGAGATGGTGTTTCCTGGGTTTTGAGATGGAGGAGAGAAGATAGGATCAGGAGGATCATATGAAGATGTTGGTCCCCCAGTCCAAGTTATGAAAGACCCTTAGTCTGTTACCTACCTGGGCGTGAAGGGGAGATTCAGGGTTCTGAGCCGGCTGTGATTTGCAAGGTGTGTAAGATCAGATTCCAAATCTCTGAAGAAGGAGGCCTTTTGAGGTGCTGTTCTAGCCTCAGAAGTGTGTTGATTTTTTCCTACCAACAGTGGGAATTGGTGATAGGAAGGGAGACCCAGGGGCCTGTCCTGTCTGCTTGGCATAGCCCCTGGGGGATTGGGCTGTGGTCTTCCCAGGAGGGGAGAACATCACCATGGGGAAGCTGGCTCCGGAGGTGAGCCTCTTACACCTGGGAAGGGAATTGGAACCATGGAGCAGCAGGGGTGGAGGGGTGTTAGACATGTGTGTCTCTGTTTGTGCATACCTGTGTTTAGGCTTAGGTGTACCTACCTGGAAGGACAGGCAATGGCCCCTGATATCCCCGAGGGTTGTTTTCTGCATCCAAAATGTTTTGGGAAAAGGTTTGAAGGTGTAGGCCTGGGAGTCAGATTGAGGAGATTCCTGAGTCTTACAAGCTTGTAGCTTTGACAAATATTTAACCTTTGTGAGCCTCAATATTTCTTTTGTTTTCCATCTGCCTTTCCAAAACATTTTATTACCTCAGTTTCTCAGGGTAGATGGCTTATACTGGAATCCCAGTTCCCCCAATTTTGAATGGGTGGATTTTGGCAAGTTATTTAGCCTCACTTATGTATAGTGTCCTCATCTGTAAATGGCACCATAATCACAAGTTTTAAATAGATTTAAAAAACAATTTTCCTTTTAAGAAGACTCTAGTTTTTAGAGAAGTTTTACATGCACAAAAAATACTTATTACAAAATACAGAGTTCCCTTCTGCTCCCTGCTCCTAGATCCCCACTACCAACATCCCCACCACAGCTGGTACATTTGTTCCCACTGATGAACGTTTCCTTAGACATCATTATCACCTAAGTCCATAGTTGCATTAGGATTCACTCTTGGTGTTGTACATTCTATAGGTTTGGACAAATATAAGGACCTGTATCGGCCAACACACTACCACAAAGAATTGTTTTATTTTTCTAAAATTTCTATGTGCTTCATCTGTTCACCCCTGTCTGCCCCTAGCTTCTGTCTGCATCATTTTGCCTTTTCCAAAGTGTAGTATAGTTAGACTCACACAGTATAAGTGGTTTTTAGATTGCTTCTTTTGCCTAGTAATACACATTTAAGCTGTTCCCATATGTTTTTATGGCTTAATATTCTTCTTTATAGCACGAAACACGACTTCGTTGTCTGCATGTTCAAAGTTTATTTATAAAAGGGGGATATTGATTACTTCTATTTTATGTTTTGTCAATTATGAATAAAGCTGCTACAAATGTCTATGTGCAGGTTTTTGTGGGGACATAAATTTTTAATACACTTGAATAAATACCAACAGGTACAATTGCTAGATTGTCTGGTAAGAGTATGTTAAGGTTTGGAAGACATGGTCAAATTCTCTTTCAAAACGATTGTGCTGGGCTGCATTCCAAACAACAATCAAAGAGAATTCCTGTTTTGAGTTCTATCCAGCATTTGTTATTATTATTGATGTTCTGGATTTTGGCCATTCTAATAGCTGTGTAGTGGTATCTCAATGTTGTTTTAAGTTGCATTTACCTAATGACAAATGACATGGAGCATTTTTTAAATGCTTACTCTCCATCAGTGTGTTTTCTTTGGTGAGGTATGTGTTTCAGCTTTTGCCAATTTTTCAATTCGGTTGTTTGTTTCTTACTATTAAGCTAAAAATCTTCTATGGACATTTGGGTAACAGTCATTTATCAGATATTCTACAATGCTATTACTGTATGGTAAATTGAATTAAGACCCCTCAAAGGGGCCCAAAGTGCAAACTGTACCATTCATGAAAGGACTCAATTTTCACTGGAACCAAGATAGTGTACCATCCAGCTTCCTCAAACCTCAGCATCTCTCTTTCATCCAGGATGCATTTCCCCATGTGATGCTTGACCAGATTACCCTTGGGAAAGACTCGTTCTCAGAGCAACCAGAGACTAGCAGTTCCGGGTTGTGGAAGAATGCAGAATCACTGAAACTAGAAGAGGGCTTGGGATTGTTCCTGTTTGATTTTGAGGGCTGACTCTTCATCTCTCTGCTGAAATGATCTCCTCCAGGTCTCTACATTTCTCCCCACTTCTCTTTACTTCTCTGGCCCCCTCATGTGCTCTGCTCCCACCTCCCACATGAAATGTGGTCTCAGATCATTCATTCCTGTCAGGTGTACTGGTTTCTAATTTTTCAAGTGACTCTTCTTCCTGGGTTGTGTATATTCAAGGTAATTGATGACTTCAGTGAGTTCTCCACTGTTGGAATTTCAGTTAGACATTGTGGGAAGCACCAAGAACATTTTGGGAAGCACTGAAGATTTCCAGAAAGTCATAGATAAGGATGAGTTTGCAATCAGTGTTTTACCCTTTGAGAGAGAGAATGTGATGAAATGTTTGAGGAAGAAGGACCTAGAGAGAGTGTCAGTTTTGCATTACTATTGTTATTGACAGTAGCATAGTCAAAAGACTTTATGAGGCAACTACTACACTGAGGTGTTTGAATGTTATTCTAGATGTGTAGCCATCAGGAATTCTGTTCCCCCAACTCTCTGGCTCTTGATATTGCAGGTACATGGTTAGGTCATGCCTCCTGGCTCGCAGTGTTTGGATGGGGTCATGATATTAGTTACAGACAATGAATTCTAGTCAGAAGTGGTGTGGGTCACTCTTGGGATAGAGTATTTATCTGGACATGTAAATTCTTCAGCAGCATTTCTCAGCTTCTGACAAAGGGAAGACTAATGTTTATAATGGTGGCTGACCCGTAGTCTTGGGTGCCTGAGTGTTTAAAATGAACAGCACCCTTACATTGTTCTATGGTGACATTTAGTGTAAATGAGAAGTACAGCTTTGGCTTTGTGGTCCTAAGGTTTTGAAGTTACTATTTCCATAGCACAACTGAGCTGAGGCTGCCTGATAGATATTGCTTTTTCCAGCACATGGAAGGACAGCTTAGTGGATGCTGGACGTGTGGACAAAGGAAGAGTTAAGGGGGCTGGGAGAAGGACTGATTCTCATGGCCAAGGATCCACCTGTCATGACACTTCAGTGTGGGTGAGAAGGGTAAGTATGTTTGCAGTTTCTTCTGTCTTTCTCTTTCCTTTAAACCAAAGAAGCCTCATAGGGCTTTTCCCTTTCACTCAAACACAATACTATGTGGTCTCTGCATGATAGGTTGGTTTCCAATATTTGAAATGCTCTGCCCATTTCTTTATCCTTTTTTTTTTTTTTTGTACTGGGGTTTAACCCAGGGGCACTTAACCACTGTGCTACATTCCCAGCCCCCTTTTAAATATTTTACTTAGAGACCGGGTCTTGCAGAGTTGCTTAAGTTCTCACTAAATTGCTGAGCCTGTCTTTGAATTCATGATCGTTCTGCCTCAGCCTCCCGAGCCACTGGGATTACAGGTGTGCGCCATTGCTTGTGGCCATTTCCTTATCTTTTGAAGCTTCCTCTGTCAGTGTTCAGTCCAGTAGGCAGGGGCCTTAGGTCATTCATCCAAGATGCCTTTTCAAAATCCTACCAGGTCCATGTAATCTCTTCTTGAAAATAAGCAGGATTTACAACTTCTTGAGAAGAGTTATTGGGAGATACATTATTCCTTTGTATAGTTACTAGTCTATAGAGGATTGCAAAAACTGTTTTCCTGACGTATAGATTTCCAGTAACACCAAACTTGGTATTGAGTGTTTTTGGTCAATGTCATGGAGAGAAACCAAGTGTTTTGTTCCCATCCAGTGTCCTCACTGGTATCCAGCATCATCACCACTCATGACCTTGTGGAAAATGGTTAGGAGGAAAGATAACCTGATCAACTTTTAGGTCATCTTCCAATTTTGCTATTGTATCATTTCATTTTTTCTATGAATGAATTCTGTCCCTTAATTTCCTTAAGCCTCTCTTCATATCTTTGTTCCTCAGACTGTAGATGAAAGGGTTCAGCATAGGAGTCACTACTGTGTACATGACAGTGGCTACCTGGTCCTCCACTGAGTACATGGACACGGGCCTAAAATAGACATAGATGACACTCCCATAGAACAGGGCCACTACGGTGAGGTGGGAGCCACAGGTAGAGAAAGCTTTCCACTTGCCGGCTGCAGAGGGGATTCTGAGCACAGTCACAATGATTCTCAGGTAGGAGAAGAGGATGCACAGACAGGGGGTTGAGATGACAGCCAGGGTTTCAACCATGATCACAGTCTGGCTGGAGGATGTATCAGAGCATGACAGTTTTAGCACAGGCTGGGTGTCACAGAAAAAGTGCTTAATGACATGGGAGGCACAGAAAGAGAGGCGAGACATGAGTAGCACCCGGAAGAGGGAGTGCAGGTGGGAGATGGTGCAAGAACCCAGCAGCATGAGGAGGCAGCGGTGTGGGCGCATGGCCACATCATAGAGGAAGGGGTTGTAGATGGCCACCAGCCGGTCGATGGCCATGGAGGCCAGCAGGTAGCTGTCAGTGTTCCCAAAGGCCATGAAGAAATACATCTGGGCCAGGCAGCCTACATAGGAGATACCCTTTGTCTCTGACAG